GTTTCAACACGGGGGACGCGCGTTCTAACAGCGATCTAATCGCCACCGTTGTCCAAACACACGCCCCTCGCCACGTGTAGGATCACGTAATCCTTTCGCGGAAACGCAATTCCTCTCTCTCTCTTCTTTTTTTTTTATTCTTCACCGCGAAACGATCGATCTTGGACTGCAAAGAGTTATTACTCTGTTTCGATGAAACAAGTAATATCTCGCCATTGTTTATTAATTCCGTAATAAAACATTTAACGAGAAGTTTGTGAAGTGGAGTTTTTCGGATTCTTTTCTTCTCTCGAGATCGGTATCGGTTGAAATTTACAAATTTTGCGTAAATACGTAGATCGTAGATTGTTTATGTAGTAATTGCGAACAATTGATGTAGTGCAATGTGAGTATATACGTAGAGATTGTCCGTATTGTTTCACGTCTGTTGATGAAAAGAGAAAGGGTTCGTAAAAAGGTAGTAGATGGGATAGGTGAATCGGATTGACCCGATTTGCAAATGTTTTAATTAAAAAAAGTCGCTAAAATCCCAACTCTCGAACCCGATCGAACCCTCTTCATACCCAGACTCGAACACAAAGTAACGACTCTCGATATACGATCAAAGGTATTAACGATTTTAAATTTCGACAAAATTTCTTCTCCGTTTCTTTCCTCTACTCGATCGATGATAGCGGTAATCAAGCGCGAAGTAATCATCGAAAGATCAGCTCTCTCGATAAAATTCGAGCCATGAATTTTCTTCCAATTAATCGGATTTAACGAGACAATAAAGGGTTTATCGACGTTTCGAGGCGGATCGTTGGAAATCTCGAAAATCTTTGTTTCGCCAAGAAAGGAGACGTGATTAATTTTACGCTATTCGCCATTCAGATTAGCTAAACGAGATTCGGCGAAGACGACGATGGTCGTTCGAAATCGAAGAGTTCGCAAGGATGATTTTTGGGGAAGGGGCATGGAAAGGATGGAATCTATTATTATGGTTGTAAGAGAAACTCGGTTAATGTAATATAATTTCTTAAACGATAACACTTCGTAATCGAATCCGGAAAACTTCTCGGGGATATTAATTCCGTTTCTGCCTCCGTTTCTCCCAACGTTCGTTCAACCCTTCGTTTGCCCTTCGGTCAGCATTGAATCAATGTAGTAATTGACCGATGGAAATTACACGCCTTCTTTCTTCCCTACTCTTTCCTCGAGTAAAAGATCCGCTTCTCTCGGTCGATGAATTTTCTTTAAAGAAGATGGATTTACTTCTGGCAAACTTTAAACCTTTCTCTTCCCTTCCTTCGTAACGGTTTTATTCCTTCTCCTTTTTTTATTTTTTTTTTTCTTAATCATCCCGAATTTAATTAAGATTTAAATTTGTTCGAGTTTTGACTCTAAACGTTCGATTTCTTTTTTTTTTTTTAATTCCATTTTCAGGGAAATTAGATTCGTGAGATCATTTAATCTCTCGCTCATTCGATCCAATTTTCAATTCATCGTTTCGAAAATAGTTCACAAAGTGAGAATGTAGAAATAAAGTAAACGAAAGGGAATCTTATTGAATACAAGATCGAGTTATCCACTGTTCGAGCCACGCAATAATCGTTCAAAAACCATAATACCGGAATTGTTGAAAGAAACTCGTCGAAAAACCGATCGAAATAACGAGGGTAAAGTTCGATCGGGAGGAGATAAGGGGATCCTCCCTATTTATCCGTCAATGGAATTCCAGAAAAATGTCCAATAGCTCTTCGATAGTTTTACGAGGGTTTCATAGCTTTCTTCCTTCGGATGATGCAGGAGAAAATGGTGAAGCAGTTTCATTCTTCCCTCCAAGTTGTGTACCAAGAATTCCATCCGACCTTTCAAACTTCCGAATTGTACATCCTCCTCCTCCTTGTCCTCCTCTTTAACAAAAAAAAAAAAAAAACGAAGAAAAGAAAAAAAATATTCCCATTTCATTCTCCTTTTCAAAAACATACACCCTCTTTCTCCTTTTTCATTTCCTTTCGACGATCATCGAGTCGGAAGCAGACCAGAAACAGCTGTTTCCCTTCCACGGAAACGACTCGGCTTTTAGTCGAATACTCGAAATACACGTCGATTATTCGACTCTTCTCTCTCTCTCTCTCTCTCTCTTCCCTCTTCTTTACCAGCACGCACGCACGCCCTCAATTTCCGTAACGTCACGTCGTGCTTGTCGCAATCTAACTTCTGTCGTTTCGCTCGATTGTTTTTCAAACGCCCTCTCCCTCTCCTCCTCCAACCCCTTGCTCCTCTGGGAAATGGCGGTATCGTCTTGGACGCGTCACGACGACGAGCGCATCGTCTATCCAGTCGTTCGTTCAATTACGAATCGAGCGAAACACGGTCGAGTGAAAGTAGAGAGAAGAATAAGTTGCTACCGGATTGTCAACGATGTCAACGAGAACCATCGAAACCGAGTCTTTGTTGCGAGAAGATAAGATCTTTGGGAGAAATTGAAGTTTATGATTCTCGCGTTTAAGAATGATCTGTAATCTTAACGAAAAGTTAAGTTACATGTTTCTTATTTTAATAGAAATTAGATAGGCTTCTAGAGGGGATGGTATCATTTTTTAGGAATGCAGTTTGGAATGGTAATTCTTAAGAATTTGTGAGAAAAATTTCTGTGACTTTAATGGAGAAAGACATCTTTTGTTTTATATATATTAATGGTTTCAAATGATATTCTTCTTTCGTGAAGTTAAGGTAATATATTATTAATTGTAAGAAAATTTCTGTAATTTTAATGGGAAGAGAAGAATTTTGTCGAATATATATATATATATATTATTTTTTTTTTTAGAACGAATTTCGAATAATTTAACTACGATCTCGAGTCTCAATTTACAATTGACGCGTCCTCGCGTGTGGGATATCTTTTCATACACACAAGGAAGGAACGGAAGTTTGTGGATATATTTAACGAGGCAGAACATCGCCAGACTAATCTTATCTCCTGACTCGATTAGACCACGTTCCTTACGCTCGATTTAAACTTCTCTTAACCGCTCTAGCCGGTAATCCTTGTTTTTTTTTTCTTTCTCTTTTTTTCCCCTCTCCACAATTTCATCGTCAACTTCTAAACTAGTCAAGCTACTTCTAGCCTCTCTCTATACATCGCGCATAATGAAGCAGCGCGAAGAAGAAACAGGGAATTAATTGCTGCGGGTGGTAATCGAATAACGGGCGACTTACGAGAAGAGCAAGTTGTCTCGAAATTTTTAAATCCCATTAGGAGTTGCAAAAATTCTCTCTCTCTCCTCCCCCCCCCCCTCTCCTCTTCCCTTTTAGTCTCTCCTCGACGCGGAAGTTCGCGGCTACCCCCTCTTAAATTCTGAGAATAACCCGTGGAGAATAATCCGTGGAAACTTTCCTATTCCCCGGAAGCAACGAAAACTTTTTCCGCGGCGTTTATAAACCGTAAAGAAATTTAAGGATCCCGCCATACTCCACCGTGTCCCCCCCTCCTTTCCTTTCCTTGCGTGCATCTTGTCGAGAGTTACAAGTTGTACGGTGTTTTGTAAGAGAATAACGCTTGTATAAATCTCGAGAATCTGATAGGAGGAGCCCTACAGCCCTTCTTTTCGCGTGCAACTTATCTGAATTCCTCGTTGAGCCCGTACGAGGATGTACAATCACTGTTCCGTTTTGCACGATTATCGAATTTTATCTTATTATTGCCTGTAAATGTTCAAGAGAAATTATCCGGCGGTTCTCCACTCTGTCCGATTAAACGTTGACGAGCTCTACTTAACGAACCTGGCGCGAAGAAGATCGGTTTTCTGGTTCTCGTCGCACGATTTCCCGATCTTCGCTCGACAAAGTCGACGAACTTATTCCACTCGAGTGGAATATATGTGTGTATTTCGATTCAGGATATTTTTCCCTTTGCTGTTTCCCCCCTCCCCCGTCTGAATAGAGTCTAGATTTTTCTACTTACGTTTTCGAGGCACGTGTTTCATATTTCCTATTTACAATGATCAAAAGTCAAACGTCAAAGGATGGAATAATTCTATGTGTGTATGTATGTACGTACGGCTGTTCCACTCGTAACAACAACGTCTCGCTTTACGTTCGTTCTCGGGCAAACAGACGGTTTTAATAAGAGGAGCACGCATGTGGATATCTAAATTTCACGAGATCGGGGAAAATAATGCTTGGAGGGAAATACGTAAAGTCGTCGGATTACGAGGCAGAAAGAAAGAATGGAAGGAAGAAAGAAATAAAGGGAAGTAATGTTGTATCTTCTTACACTTGGTTCTCGCTGAGAAGATTTTATAGAAGTAATATTCTCGCGTGCATTCACGATTTTCTCGTCCAGAAACAGAGCCGTTTAAGGTTGCAGAGGTTTATTTCCACGATGGTGCATTTACCTACGTAATCCGTGGATATTTGTTACGTGACCTGTCAAATCGGGAGAAAATGTACCACGAGGAAGCGTTCGCTTCGGCACCACGCTTTAAAGACTTATTCCGCATAAATTTTAAACATTTCCGAAACATTGACGAATATCTCGATGAAAAAAAAAAATAATATTCATCCGATACATTTGGTATAATGTCATAATTATTTAGATCTTAAAACCATATATAACGATCAGGGGAAGAATAGATAAAGTATAGATCGCAACGCTGATTTCGTATTCCACGTACGAGATAAAGTTTGACCGTTGTACAGTTTCAGTTGCCATACACTCGATGTTTAAGTCCATACGTGTCTGCTCGATATTAGAACGTTATATCTTGAAACTTTAATACAAATGCGTAGTAAGCAATTAATACGTAACATAAATACATAAAGAACCGATTAAGAGCTTGTAAATCTCTTAATAACGAGTTACTTAAAGGTAGACGTTTGCACGCTTGTAAGCGATTATGCAAATTAAAGGTGAAAAAAAAAAGAAGAAATAACACAGGTAATTAGGTATAAAAATTTTTATTTCAAAAACATTTGAATACATTCGTAATTCTTTATTATTAAAATTACAGCGTTTCGTACATATATATAACAGTCCAAAATAAAAATTATAATTACAATTACGTTATAATTGAAATTTATGTTACAATATTACGTAATAAAATCGATATGTATGAACTGTGCTACTGGCTGTGTACACGATATACACAAGGTAAGTATCGACTTTTTTCTTTTTCCTTTTTCCTTTACACCTGTATTTTAAGTTTGAAACCAACGTGTTTTCAGTCGACGAAATCGGGATGAAAAAACGCGAGGGAGTGGTGGCGGCCGAGTCGAGTCTGGCGCGGATTCAAAAGGGTCTCGCGAGACTGGCCGGCCCGTATCTCAACAATCGCGTTGTCCGTCGAGAGGGTGACGCAGAAATTCGTGGCAGCGTATCGCGATCGTGAAGAGGAATTTGAAAAAGTTCCTCCCGCTGTAAGCGAACCGGCGGCATTCTTCCCCGGGCACAAAGGGCTTCACGCTCGAGAAATGCATCTCGCGTCCATTCCCATCCGATGTCGAGTTATGCGACCGGGATCCCGTCCCTCTTTTGTCGTAAACAACGAGAGAACAAATAAAAATCGACGATTTTGTTTATCAATTTTTATTTATTCTTCCATGTTCTCCGCTTGCTTCGGACAGCGTAGCATCCAGTACCACTTTCTTCCTTTTGGATTTTATAGAAATTTTATAGATATAAAATATCTTTTTATGTATTATCGATGTATACTTATATAATAAAATATATTTATATATTTGTACGCGTGATTTATATTTTTTTATATTCCTATACATTCCTGTATTCCTATTACGCGTATTCCTCAATCCTGTATATTCCTATATTCCTACTATATAGTCATCAATTTTTTACATTTTTATCCTTTTATTTCTACTATATATATTCTTCAACTCCTATATATTCCTATATTATCCTAAATTCCTATATTCCTTCTTTATATGTTCCTATACATTTCCATATTCCTATCATGTACGTGTTTCCTAATTTATATCTTCCTAGAATTCTATATTCCCACACTACATATTCTTCTATCCTATATATTCCTACATTTCTATATTCTTAATGTTTATTACCTAATCCTATACATTCCTGCATTTTTGTTGTGTACATTTCTTTTATACATATTCCTATCCCTATATTCCTATTATATATATAATCCTTAATTTTATATAATACATTCCTATATTTCTTTTATATACCTCAATCCATCCTATATTCCTATTATCTGTACTCTTTAATCCTTTAGAATTAAGAAAACTGTTGAAAAACATTTATAATTACGATATTACAATGACAATTAAATCTGGTAAGTATTTGGAACGGTAAGTAACATAACAAAGGTAAGTATAGGGTAAGTATTTAAAATAGGATAAAAATTTTTATTTATAAATGAAATTTGCGTGTTACTTCTTTTTAAATTATATTCTCCTGTTACAAGGTCAGAAATTTGAAATTTAGGCAAAAATTTTTAAATTTGGTCGAAAAATCTTAGAATTGGTTAAAAATTCCTAGAAATCATCAAAAATTCTTGGAATTAGAATTCCTGGAAAAATTTCTAGAACGACCTCCTGTCAAGTTATATTCTCCTTATACAAAGTCGAATTATCGGCCAAAAATTTCGTTCAGCTAAGATTTTCGATAATTTCGGGAACGTGACGTCATTTCCAAGAATTTTAGAAATTCCGAGAACTTGACGTCATTTCCAAGAACTGCCGAAATTCCGGGAAAAATTTCTCGAACGACCTCCTGTCAAGTTATATTCCCCTAATACAAAGTCGCATTTTTGGAAAAAACTTTCGTTCGACCGAGATTTTCGATAATTCCAGGAATTTGACGTCATTTCTTAGAATTTTAAAAATTCCGAGAATTTGACGTCATTTCCAAGAAATTTAGAAATTCCGAGAATTCGACATCATTTCCTGGAAAAATTTTTCGATCGACCTCCTATCCTATCATGTTCTCCTAATACAAAGTCGCATTTTTAGACAAAAATTTTTCTTCGTTCCTAGCAATTTCGATATTCGTCTTTTTTGTTAAATATTTTCCTTATTATTAACAATATCGAAAAAAGTTTCGAATAAAAGTTATACGGTTTCGAAAGGGTTATATTCAGGTGCACTCA